ACTTGATCTTAACCCAAGTGAAACGTGGTAGCATGAACTGAAGAAACCAGTTTGGTCAAGATGGCCCCCCAACGTCGGTGAGTTAAAGCTGTTTTGGAAAGGAAGATGGGCCAAAATGTCTCCAGGATGGTGTGTAGGATTGATGCCCAAGTACAGGAAACCTTTGGTTGAAGTCCCACCTCTCGTAAGAGGTGCCATCGCTTGCTAGAAGCCCTGACTGCTTTTCCTGTCAAAGATGCTGAATATTGATTCAGTGAGTTTAACAAAGGCTTGGCATTGTACACTAGTTGTCTATTGTTTGTTTAACCAGAATGTCTTTATCTATTAATAGATCTTGGATAAGAGCTCTGCTCTTTGCAGATTGCAAAGAAGTCACTACCTGCTTGGATTATAGAACTTCTAAAGGCTTTGCAGGACCCACAGAAGATTTGGGGTGTCACGAGAAAATCCAACACAGATTTGTGGTACCTTTGTCTGTGTTTTTGATAATGGATGGCTGGAGGCTTTTTTGTTGAACTTCAAGAATTTATGGGCAGGGGGAAGGGGTGTGGGGGTGGTAGGGGGAGGGAAAAAGGGTGGGGGGAATATTGGGGGGAAAATCTTTTTTTCTGTTAAACTTTTCAATAAAAAAAAATTATGGGTAGTTTTCAATTTACAATCATTCATTTCATAATAGAATATTCTTTATTGACCAAGTGTGATTGGACACACAAGGAATTTGTCTCCAGTGCATAAGCTCTCAGTGTACATACAAACGACAAAGTGATAAATCATAAGATACCAAATAGGGGAAGGTAATAGGACAGATGAGAAGGATAGTAGCAGTACAGCCCTATTAATTTAATGCAATTAGTGTTTGAAATTAGAATGGCACCGAAAACAGTGACTTATGTCCAGCCCTCACACTTACGTCCATCATAGTATTCCCACAGTTATTTGGCCAGAAAACCAAATTAAACCTAACCAAGTTTAGCATCTTATGCAAACGTAGCTGCTAGATATTTAGGTGTGGTGCGAACATGGCTATTCATAGTCTGCCATGTCGGGTGGAATCAACCCAAGATTATGGCTTATTTAACAAATTGTCATCAAATACGGCTCAGTGCAGATCCAACTAGGGTGAGGACTTGTGCATCCCATTCTGGGATTTTACAGGACTTGTGCATCCCATCTCATTGCAGAATTAGATGAAAAGGGATTACCTGGGAAAAGGTGTGACCCTAACTAGAGAAGTAGCAAAGTCTTGGGGTGTGTGTGTAAGTGGGAGGACAGGGTGGATAAAAATTGACGATTTTTTTTTTAAAAAAAAATCAAAAGTATCAAGATTTTTAAAAAAATTTAATCGGATTTTTTTGATTTTTATAAAATTTATTTTAATAAAACGCTTTTGGAGTAAAAATCTGTCAAGATAGTTTTCTATTTAAGATACATTCATAATTTACTTTATTCAATGTGACATGGATCTTAGTTATGTAGCATGAGGAGGTTGCAGATTGGGACTGTCAGTGAATCAATAGCGGGACAGAGATGACAGTTGCTCTTTAAAAATTATGATTTAAATCAAGTTGATTTAAATCAAATCCACCCTGCTGGAAGACCTCTATTCTAGATTGACTTGCAGATAGATCTAGAAAAGATGAAGCCTGGTGACCCAGTTGATCCCTGGTCTTGTATTCATGGGCTGCAATGATGGGGAGAAATGACTTAACCCCCCTCCCCTTTTTCTCCAGCTTCCCTGGCTGAACCCATATATCCAGGGACGATCTTTATTAAGTGGATAGAAAGTTCTAAAAAGGGTTTCAAATGTCTTGAACCCTCTTCAGTCTTCAGGCAAGATGATTAAAGCTCCAGATAAGCTGCCTCGGAGGGCTCTGAAAAAAAAAAGGGGGGAGATTTGAAGCTTTGGGTCTGGGGGAGGAAGGCGAGGCATCTGTTGGCTGTAGAGACCCCATAAACTTTACGAACTCATAAAATTGGGAAATATACATTCCAGCTGTTGGAGTTGCAAGGGTCGCCTAAGAGGAGCTTTCCTTCCTAATGGCCACCGGGCTGTGAGAAGATCCAGATGCTTCTTGGATTTGACAGAGGAGTCCTGGACTTTGAAGGGACTTAGGGGGGTCTCGGGGGTGGCTGGGAGGCAAAAACCCCGAAGGAAACCAGACATTTTGCTCAGTTCTCTCTAGGGAAGGAGTCGGGAGGCACAATTGTGTCCCTTTCTTGTCTTCTTCAAAGGAGCCAAAACTTGCCCAGCCAAATGCTTCAACCTCTCATTAGAGGTTTCGTCTACCTGCCAATTAGCCTTCCTTGCGCTGGGCTGAACCCGTGGCAATTTCTCAGAGTCTTTTTTTGAAATGATGCCCCCAGAATTGGGCATGGCAGCTGGGAGCAGGATATTTGTTCTTTTGGGAACTGCAAAATAATGTTGAGGTTGCCATGCCAGTCTTCGACTTAGGTTCACAATTGGGAGCAGAATGACTGTTGCTAAGCAGAGTGGCCTTCTTTGGATTTTATGGCCTTCTTTGCCATGGTTTCCTTCCTGTTTTTCCTCTCTTCTCCTACTCTGGGCTTTCCTTTCCTTTCCTTTCCTTTCCTTTCCTTTCCTTTCCTTTCCTTTCCTTTCCTTTCCTTTCCTTTCCTTTCCTTTCCTTTCCTTTCCTTTCCTGTTCCTGCCTGCCTCTTTCCTTCCTTCCTTCCTCCCTCCCTCCCTCCCTCCCTCTGCTTCCTTCCTTCCTTCCCTCCCTCCCTCCCTCCCTCTGCTTCCTTCCTTCCTGCCTGCCTGCCTACCTGCCTGCCTGCCTTCCTTTCTCGTTTCCTTCTTTCCATCCATCCATCCATCCATCCATCCATCCATCCATCCATCCATCCATATCATCCTCAACTTAACAACCACAATTCAGAATTTCTGTTGCTAAACAAGGCAGTTAGCAGAGTGGTGCACAATTTTAAAACTTTTTTGGCCATAGTTGTTAAGTGAATCACTGCAGTTAAGCAAATCACATTGTCATTAAGTGAGTCTGCCTTTCCCCCATTGGCTCTGATTGCTGGAATCTGGCTGGGAAGTTTGCAAATAGTGATCCCCTGATCCCGAGATGCTGCAACTATTGTAAATGCATGCTGGTTGACAAGTGTCCAAATTGATGGGGAAACGGATGGTCATAAGTGCGAGGACCATTCTTGAGTGCTGTTGTAACTTCAAACGACCGTTCAAACGCATGGTTGAAATTTGAAGACTTGTCTGTATTTTACCAGCTTAACATTTCACTAGTGATCAGCTATTTGTTCCAAGATCTTTTTCCTAAATTCTGTGGTCAGATTAAGCGTTGCCCATCTAAAAATCCAGGAACGTGTAGTCGCCATGCAATCTGTCATAGGCTCCCAGGGTGGGGAAAAATTAGTTGAAGCTTAACCACTAAAATTGCCAACATGGAGGTTTTAGACTTGACGTTGGAGGCGATTCTGCCCATGGTTCCCTCCCACTGAAATGTTTGTGTCTTTAGGCCAGGGGACTCAACCTCGGCAACTTTAAGACTGGTGGACTTCAACTCCCAGAATTCCTCAGTCAGTTGCATGCTGGCTGGGAATTCTGGAGTTGAGGTCCACTGTCCTAAAGTTGCCGAGGTTGGAGACTCTGGGGTTTGAATGCGTATGAAGGGCGGTATAGGGCTGTGTGGGCTGTGATGTTCCTTGGAGGAAGCCCATGACCCCTTGCCCTTCCCCCATCTCCATGTTTCTCAACCTTGGTGACTTCAAGCTTGAGTGGACTTCAACGTCTGTCAATTTCACAACTGTTGAGTAGAATTAATGGTTGTGCTTCCTGAATGTTCTCCCAGAGAATTTCATGGCTGAATTTGAATGTTAGTATCGCAAGAAGTCCACAGTGTGCATCATTTCCATAATTTCCTCTAGAACCAAAAGCTCTCATCAAACCGAATCCTGGACTTGAGACTAGGATATCTGCGTTATTGTTTATCGATAAAATGAGGACCCAGATGGTTGGGGGGGGCAATTATGCTGACTTTGTAAACCGCTTAGAGACGGCTGCAAAGCCCTGTGAAGCGGTAGATAAGTCTGAGTGCCATTGCTATCCTTCCTTCCTTCTCTCCCTCCCTCCCTCCCTCCCTCCCTCCCTGTGGTTAGAATACAGGATTGCAGGCTAAATTCTGCCCACTACCAGCAGTTCGCTCCTGACGAGCTCAAGGTTGACTCGGCCTTCCATCCTTCTGAGGTCGGTAAAATGAGGACCCAAATTGTTGGGAGCAAAAGGCTGACTCTGTAAATCACTTAGGGCTGTAAATGACTGTGAAGTGGTATATAAGTCTAAGTGCTATTGAGATCCTCCTTTTTCCCTTTTTGATTTCTCAACCCATGAAACCTTGATGTAATGTTAATTCTTGCTGGGACATGCAACATCCTCCTCCGCCTTTATCCCTCTGGGCCTGATCCCCCGATCTCCTCCGTTGGTTGGACTCATGATGTCCAATTCTGTAGAGCTTTCAATATCGTGAAGTGCTGGAGCCACCCTTGAAGGGCCACGTCTCACAGTTTGATTCTGGGCACCTTTACCAACTGGTCGAAATATGCTGAATCAGAATCAGAATAGCGTTGGAAGGGACCTTGGAGGTCTTCTAGTCCAACCCCCTGCTCAAGCAGGAGACCCTACAGGGTTTCAGACAAGTGAGAAAGGCGGTATAGAAATATAATAAATAAATAAATAAATAAATAAGTGGCTGTCCAATCTCTTCTTAAAAACCTCTAGTGACGGAGCACCCACAACTTCTGAAGGCGAACTCTTCCACTGGTTAATTGTCCCTTCGTCCTTCCTTGTAGGATAAACGGTCCTTCAAGCTGCCTTCTCCTTTACTTTCCCCAACCATTCAAGATACTTTTTGGATTCTTCACCCCATTCTTGCTTCGTTATGGTTCATAGCTAAAATAAGGAATCATAACAACAACCAACCCTACTTGCATTCTCTCATACTTGATCTTGGTTCTTTCTGCAGCTCGTTTCTGGACCTTGGACTACACGGTAGCCCTTGTAGATGCTGAGATCCAGGACTTGCCACACTAACCAGGAGAGGAGGGAGCGTCTGGCCCAGCGGCTGAGTCTTCAGCGGCCCGGCTATGTACAGCTGTTGGTGGGGCTGAGTGGGCAAGCAAGAGACGGTTCTTCAGCGCCCTTTGGGTCGGTGAGTGTGGCTTCTCTTGGAGGGGGGGCTGGCCTGGAAGAAGGACCTTCAACTGGGGTGTGTTTTCTCCTGCTGGTTATGATTCCTGAGACTTTGTTGAAGCTGTTTTTAATCAGTGATGGAGTTTTGATCAAGAATAGTGGCTTTATCTCAGCCGTTGTCCAAAACCTTTAGCTGTGTGAATAGAGGCTATATTGGCTAATAATGGGTGAATTGTTCTTTTTAAGTCTTAATAAAATCCTGGGTGTGTTAGAGGTGAGGAAAAAGCCTCAACCTTGGGGACTTTAAGCTGCATGGACTTCAGCTCCCAGAAGGCTGGGGAATTCTGGAAGGTTGTTTTTTTTTTTTTTTTAATTTGATTTATATGCCGCCCTTCTCCGGAGACTCAGGGCGGCTTACAATGCGTTAAGAAATAGCCTTCATACTTTTGTATATGTATACAAAGTCAGCTTATTGTCCCCACAAACTGGGTCCACATTTCACCTACCTTAGAAAGGATGGAAGGCTGAGTCAACCTTGAGCCTTGGAGAGATTCGAACCAGCAGTAAATTGCAGGCAGCTGTGTTAATAACAGGGTGCTTAGACTACTGTAAGTTGAGGTCCACACATCTTAAAGTTGCCAAGGTTGAGAAACACAGCTGTAGAGAATCACAAATACACTTGTGATGTTTGAGGATTAAATAGCAGTGGTGTAGTAGCTTCATCGCTGCAGAGAGAACTCTCGATCATGCACAGGCCATGGGCTGACAGCACAGGAAGGCGCAGGCCGCTGTAGGTTAATGCAGCCCTTGGGCCCACCTCTGTGGGTCAGGATGTCCATTGGGGATGGACACTGTTGGGCATTTGGGAAGTGGGCTCCCAAGTTCATGTTCTGCTCCCAGATGGCCCAGTCTTCAGAAGACACAGGCAAATCTCCCTCTCTCCCCCCCCTTTCTCCTGTTTGTTTCGTTCTCTTGTCTGTCTCTCTAACTATCTTGCCTCTCTCTCTCTCTCTCTCTCTCTCTCTCTCTCTCTCTCTCTCTCTCTCTCTCTCTCTCTCTCTCTCTCTCTCTCTCTCTCTCTCTCTCTCTCTCTCTCTGTCCAACCTTCCATCCTGTATCTCTCTCTCTGGTCTGTACTCACTTTCTTTCTGCCCCCCCTCCCCCGCCTCCCTGTCTCTGTCTCTCTGTCTGTCTTTTCTGTCTGTCTGTCTCTGTCTCTCTTTCCCCTGTTTATCCTGTGTGTTTCTTTCTCTTGTCTGTCTCTCTAACAGTCTTGCTTCCCTCCCTCCCTCCCTCCCTCCCTCCCTCCCTCCCTCTCTCTCTCTCTCTCATCTGTCCAACCATCCATCCTATATCTCTCTCTCTGGTCTGTCTACTCACTTTCTTTCTGCCCCCTCCCCCTCCCCCGCCTCTTTGTCTCTGTCTCTCTGTCTTTTCTGTCTGTCTGTCTCTGTCTCTCTTTCCCCCGTTTATCCTGTGTGTTTCTTTCTCTTGTCTGTCTCTCTAACAATCTTGCTTCTCTCTCTCTTTCCCCCCTTCCTTCCTTCCTTCCTTCCTTCCTTCCTTCCTTCCTTCCTTCTTTCCTGTATCTCTCTCTCAGGTCTGTCTTTTTTTAATCTATGTCTAGTCAGCTTCTTTCTACCCCCCCACTCTGCCTCCCTCTTTCTGTCTCTCATCCATCTGTCTATCTAGTTTGCTCTCTTGTCTCTCTGCCTCTCTCTGTGTCTCTCTCTTGTCTATCTAGTCTCTCTCAAATTTTGTGCTGCCCAGAGTCTCTTTGCAGAATGATATGGGCGGTAAATGAATTTCATAAAGAAATTGTTTGCACATGCCTTCCGAAGACTGGGACGTCTGAGAGCAGAACCTGAATTTGGGGGCCCCTGTAACACGTCCCCTCCCCACTTTAATCCCCTTGTGAGCCATCCACAACTTGACTGAGAGATTTAGGGTCAGGAAGCTGCACCCCCACCATTCGGGAGGGGGGACTCTCCATTGTGTCTTGGGGGCTGACTTCTCTAGCGGGTGCATCCAGCTCCAAATTGCCCCCTCCCCACTGAATGGGGGCTGCTTCCCTGCCTCGCCTGGAGCTGCTGGGAACAGGTGGAGCTTTGAATCCTTGCACTGTGCGAATATTTTCTTTTGTAACCGAGTGGATTGCTCCGAATGGGCACCTTGCAAAAGGGTCCCGCCCCCGGCTGGGGGGGCTCAGCTCAGAGGGCTGGGGGTGACAGAGGTGGCCCTCTGTGTTTTCCTTCACCCAAAGGCCAGCCTGAATAAGTCCACGGCCACCTTCCCAACCTCTTCTATTCAAAAAAAGCCCCCCACCCAACCCCTCTCCAAAATGTTTGCCCCCAGCTGTCCCGGCTGCTTTGTTTCCCCGAGAAACCCTTGTTTTTTCTCCCCCACCAAACAAAGCTCAGGGGGGCGGAGGCCGATGGGGGCAGCATCCCCCTCTTTGGGCACCCCTTGCCCATCTCCCCCCCTCCCCAAAAACTTCATCTGGCCTCTTTGGATGCTGGCCTGCAAGCTCCCTGGCCTGCTTGCCATCGCCTAGGTAACCGGCTGTGCGTGTCTCAGGCCGGCTTTGTTTCTCCCCCCCCCCCGCACCCCCCCTCCCGGCCGTGATAAATGTGCAAAACTCTCCAGGGGTTTTGCACAAAAGGCTGGTCTCTCTTTCTCTCGCCTTTTGTGCAGGCAGCGGTGCTTGCATTGTGGGGAGGGGGGAGCGGAGAATCTGTCAAGGGTTGCCCCCAGCCCCAGTGATATGAGCCTAATTTGCAGCAGCCTCCCCCTCTTTGTGAAGGCCCCAGCCCTCCACCCATTTCAGCCCCACCTTCTCTGTATTTGGGGGTGGGTGGGAGAACTAAACGTCCCCTTGCATCGAGGAAAAGAGCAAACTTTTGCCCTGTGGCTTTAGCATGCCCTCCCCATGATCACGTGATCAAAATTCAGACACTTGGCATCCCCTTTTGTGACCTTCTGACGAGCAGAGTCGATGGGGAAGCCAGATTCACTGAACAGCTGTGTTAGTAATTTTAACAACTGCGGTGATTCGTTTAACAGCTGGCAAGAAAGGTCGTAAAACGGAGCAAAACGTACTTAACAGATGTCTCACTTACCAACAGAAATTTTGGGCTCAGTTGTGGTCATAAGTCAAGGACCCACCCTGTATTGGCAGGTTCAATGTCCTGAATGGTTTTCTGCTTGAATATAGTGTTAGCCTAGAACAGGAGTCAGCAACCTGCAGCTCTGGAGCCGCATGTGGCTCTTTCATCCTTCTGCTGTAGCTCCCTGTCACTCAAAATATGTGTCACAACCGCCAATGTGCAACACCTGCAGCACGCGATTTATTGAGCTTTTCAACTCTCGGTAGGCCAACCATGGATAAATCCAAGAAAAGAAAAGTTTCAGAAGAAAACAGAAGGTTTAATTCCACTACATAGGCTTGTTTTGTGGCCGCTCAAGAAATAGTCAGGCACGGGAAGGATTTTGTGGCTCCCGGTGTTTTCTTTTCTGTGGGAAATGGGTCCAAATGGCTCTTTGAGTGTTTAAGATTGCAGACCCCTGGATTACAAGACCTTCAAAATCCCTTCCAACCCTATTATTCTATATTATATTCTCAATCTCTGCAACTTTAAGAGGGTGGACTTCAATTCCCAGAATTCCTCAGCCCGCATGCGCCAGCTGGGGAATTCTGGGAGTTGAAGTCCACAGGCCTTAATGTGGCCGAGTTTGGAGACCCCTGCCCTATAGACACAAACCTTTCAGTGGAAGGCATAGCTGGCTGGGGAATTCTGGAAGTTGAAGTCCGCCCTACTTAAAGTTGCAGAGATAGACAAACCAGTTAAATTAAAGGGCAGCTGTTTTAAAAGGTGAAGGATTTGTAAATTTGTTTTTTTAAGACAGTGCTTAGAAAAAACAACCACTCAATGCTGCTCTTTCTTTCTCAAGGTTCAATGCAGGCCCGAGATCAGCAGTAGGCCTTCCTTAAACAATGGCCTTCATTTGCAGAGGTATTAGTTTCTATCTGCATGCATAATAAAAGGGCCCTTGAGGCAGAGTAAAACAGTATCAGATACATGTGGCTTAGGAGAGAAGATAGGCAGGACAATGTAGGACAAAGACGAGCAAAAAACAAACTGACTTTAACAATATTAAATGGTTATTAGTTGCCCCGACCCTAAACGTCTCAGGAATTTAGTAGGGTAGGTGTCCATCACTGGAGGTTTTCAAGAAGAGACTGGCCAGCCATTGGTCTAGAATAATTTCCTGCTTGAGCAGGGGGTTGGACTAGAAGACCTCTAAGGCAGGGGTCTCCAGCCTTGGCAACTTTAAGACTTGTGGACTTCAACTCCCAGAGTTGAAGCAAAGCTGGCTGAGGAACTCTGGGAGTTGAAGTCCACAAGTCTTAAACTTGTCAAGGTTGGAGACCCCTGCTTTAAGGCCCCTTCCAACTCTCTTATGCTGTGTTGTAAATTAATGCCAGGGAGCTTTGGGGTCAAGAGGAAGAGGCTTCAAAAATTTAGGATCAGCACCTTAATGGTTATGGTGGTATCTCTGGGTACATCGGACCATTTTGGAGCAATTCAGTGGTTGAGTGTTTTGGTCAGGTTTCGCCTCTGGTTTCTCCAGGAAAGGTCCAGATGGTGAAGATCAGCAGATGTTCTTGGTGGCCTGCATGTCAGTGGACAGGGATGGTTACAAGGAGAGGTTCAACCAAGGTGGAGAATATGTCTCTGGGCATCGAGACCTTTGAACGGCCCAAACACTTTATATCTTTCCTCTGTTAGATTTGCCCTGTTGCCTTTCTCTGCTGCAAACGTGGCTGTAGATTCTAACAGATCTCTCACTCTTGCCCCGGATCAGGCAGGAGAGAAGGATCTGGTGTGAAAAGGTAGCTCTAAAATAGACTGAGTGTTGAGCACTTTTCGAATCTCTGGATGATTTAGAGCAGACTCTGGTCACTTCACAGTGGACTTCAACTCCCAGAATTCTATGCTGGCTGGAGAATTCTGGGAG